GCAGGAATGGAGGAGGATTATGTCTCCAATAGCTCCCCACAGAGAAATGTGAATTTGCATCGGTCACTGCTCTGCCCTCTGCTGAAAATATTTAACTCTGAAATAATGATATTCATCCCAGCTAAAGAAATCTGTCTGCTTCAAATGAGCTAATATATGAAAAAAGGGATCCATTCAGTGCTGAATAATTCTGGTTGGGAAGACTGCAACTTTTGAAAACAGGATTCAACATTAACTCCTTCCAACAATAAAAGATGAGGAGCTGATTTATCAAATGAGTTGAACAAGTGCTCATAACTGGGCATTTACTAAACCATTGACCTTGTACCAGTTCCTTCATTTGAAAAAAGGACCCAAATATGTATCTGGAAAGGAAGAATAAGCATGGCCGAACATCATTGATTGGTTTCAGAAATAATCTAAGATAAAGTAACATTTCTAGGAAAAAAAACTTATTTATATTCAAAAGCAATCATAAGGTAGCACATTGTACCAATTAATAAACTGCCTAGGAAAAAGAAAAAAATTCAGCAATGACATTCCAGAGCATTTATGGAAAGATCTTTTCAAAAGCTATTACTCCTCATCTTTGAAACACTCAGCAGGAAATTGATGTTTAAGATTGTACAATCCCCTGTTTGCTTTATAGGTCGTGTACTATTTAAGAATAAAGCAGTGTATTTTTCACCTCCGAGAGCTTATGTACCTTCTATTAATCATTACAAATGCTATACATATTCACTGAGATGAAAGGAAACAGCTTAGCTTTCCAAGATTAGAGGAGCTTGGTCACTTGTGTTATTCTTTTATTTGTACAGTGTCTTGAAGTCCTGCCTTCTTCCCACCATCTTCAAAAAGCCAGTGAGTCACTTCATTGCCTTGAATAAACATCATTATTAAGTTTGACTTTTGACTATACTACCTGCATAGTTTGTTATTATAGTCCAGTCCTTTGCCCTAGGTGTAGATTTTGCATGTAAAAGATAAAAATTGTACATAAGAAGGATAAGAAGTAAGTCTATGAACCATGCACGTCAGTGTCATGCGAAGTGGAGAGCTTGTAAAAGACCAACAACTGCGCTGAGACACTGCGAAGCCAAACCATGCTGGCACAGGCCATGAGCTAGAGGGATACGAAAAGGCCAGCCTCTCCCCGAGCTTGTGGGCAGGCAGCAGAAGTTTATGGATGACCCCGACTTTCCTATAAACACCCAAAGACGGAAATGCCTGAACACATCTTATCCTAGGCAGGCTACTTGCAGTAAGCAACGCTGATCTCTCTAGCTGCCTAGGAGACACTTTTCTGCTGTGAATGATTCCAGAGATGTGCAGCTGAGGCAGGCGTGTGAATTCATCACTGTTTTCCTGGGGCGTGGTACACTTCAGCACTGAGACGTTCATGTCAGCACTGACACATGCTAACACCTTCTTCAGGTAAGAACTTACAACTAACTTTACAAAAGCAAAATGCAACAAAAAACTATCCATCAGATCATTTCAAGCAGGTCTAATATAAATTCCTCTGAAGTAAATAGCTGTGATTCTGCTGGTTCCAGGCCTTTCGATCTGGAACGCAGTAAGACCATTTTTTGAAAGCTCTGACTCAAAGAAATTCATGAATAGAAAAAGAGGGCTACATTTACGCCATAAGTTGCTCTGTATTTTTACTTCTGTGTATTTTTAGTCTCAGCAGTGGAAGTGGAAAGCCAGTAGAAGAACCTAACCTCACAACTGAATACAAGATATATGGGAAAAAAAACCACATCATGATGTCCTTATGCTATTCTTTTTCTAGTAGAACCATATTTTAATAGTTAACAGATCAAAATTCCTTGCTTGTAGTTTACTACTAGTAATTTGAGTCACTGATGATTTAAAAAAGGTCAAACCTGAGTAATTAAGTAGTTAGCTACAGTAGGATTATACTCAAAAGACTCTTCTGTAGAAGAATCCTTTACTAAATCTGAATAGTTTTAAGATTCTTTCTCACATTAGTCCACATTCACACTCAGTCCCAACAGGGAAGAGTTTATTAGATAGACTTGGTTGTAATCTAGTAGGGAATGTCTTATGAAATTGCTGTTTAGTAATTCTTATCGGAACAGTGTTTTAAACGGAGTTTTGTGTTGTGTGGCCAACAACAATGCACTATATGAAAAACATGAATCATTTTAATTTAGTCTTACAGAGACTCCAAGCTGATAACAAGTACGCTGGCATCAATGCTAGTAAGTGAAATTTAATTAGTTTATTCTTGTCACAAAGATTCTTGAGGTCCTGGAGTAAAAAGCACTTAGGGTGACATCCAAGAAAAGAAATAAGGCAGAATCTGGGTGTGTATGTTAAAAGTTGTGCTATTGGGAGCCTGAGAAACTCTCATCAGATGCTCCCTGACTCTGAAGGTACAGATGCCGTTAATTCATGACATTAAAACTATCTGCAATCTCTGCTTCTCTATACGTAAAACAGCATCCCAGACTGGAGTTTCACTGCGGAGTGGCTTTGGTGATGAAGTCAGTCAGCCTGGGAAGTTTCTTCTTTGCACTTCCATCTGCTCATTCCTGACCCTAAAAAAATATGCCACCCCTTCAGTTGTAAAAATACAACTGTTTGTTGGGCTTCATCGCAAGTAGATCTCTGAATGATCCCAACCAAAAATGCCTCCCCCTTTCTGACCTCTTTCCTTTTTTAAAAGATTATTTTTAATCTGGGCCACTTCAGTGATTTAGTCTTCAGCACAATCCTACAAACACTTGAAGTGTCAGGGCCGGGCGAGGAGCAGGCTGTGGCATGGGGTGGGAGCCGGTGACTGGGTTGGGCAGGCAGCCGAAATCAGCTTCACAGCTGCAGCCAAGACACCAGGACACTCCAGCCATGAACCTGGCAGTGCTACACAGCCTGGCACATACCACGTGCCTGAACCTGGGTAAGTCCACAAAATAAGCAGGCTTTTGCCTACAGCATTCACAGGGTAGGTGGAAGATTTGGGTTCCTCCCCCTTCTCAAATAAAGAGCATTGAAATCTACTATACTTCCCAAAGAACAACACGCTAACTGGGTGTGGGAATCATGGCCCTCTGCAGAAAGCAGTTTTGGGGCCATTCAGCCACAGGCAAGAGGAGGAACATGATGCTGTACTTGGGTAGCTAAGGTCACTCATTTACAAAGATACAGGAATGCATATACATCATGGGTGATGCGATGCATATGGGTCTTCTGCAAAAAAATTAGCTGTTGTACTTTAGATGAGAATGTACAATATCACTTGAATCTTTCTCATACTAAAAAAAAAAAAAAGTATTACAGGATTGCAATGCTATTAAACCTTCTGAATGAGTCGTCAGAAGCATTTTTTCTTTCCTCTGTTTCTCTACTCCCCTCACCAGCACCATTCTCCACAACTGATCCAACCTTGCTGGAGCACCAGGATATATATTTAAGGGATTCCTTCTCATATCAGGGCTGTTAAGTACGAGAGGGTACCAGCAGAGTGGCAAGTTCTCTTCTTTCTCCACCCCTCCGGGTGCTGCACCTTTCATGTTGCAATCCCTTCTCCCACCCACTTGCCTCCCAAGACTTGCCCACTTACACCGCAGTTCTGCCTGGGATCCTTGTCAAGAAAAGCAAGGTGCAGAGCGGCCAGATGAAGGAACTGTCTGCCTCCAGCCCCTCCTCCACCCCACCACTGGGAAACACAACCAAGAGGGGAAAAGACACAGAACCAAGTGCTCCACCAATACCAAGGTACTAAGGTAGTACTGGCACCTAATACTTTTGGCTAGCATTGGGGATCTTGCATGGTATCACTTCATCACCCTTAAAGCGTGTGAGGAAAACCTTTTTGTTATAATACAGGTGACTCAGGGCACTGCCACACCTAGCCATAAATTAATTAAGAAATGCAAGAGAAGATGCAATGGCTTCAGTTCAAAGCTACCTTATGTGTGGATTTGGATCTGCACGATTTCTATGCTTATTAACTACCAGTTAGCTAGTACAGTTATTTTTTCTCTTCCTCTCACTGCGCCCAGCTGCCCCACAGGGATGTGCTGCAAAGTCATCTTGGTTTATTGAAACCTCTTCTGACAGTGTTATGATTTTCTATATGTTCTTGCCAAAGGGCACAGAGTTGGAAGTCATGTTTTTTATGCCAGCAAAATCACCATGTTTATGCAGCTGCATATTATCCCCATTTAGTGACAAGAACAATAACTCATCGACTTGCTATAGTCTTGCTAAGCTACTTATTCCTGGAGCTTACTGGAAGAAAATCAAGATACCACATGGTAAAATGTTTGACGTCGTCATTAAAAACCAGAAGTCATTCCGACACTATCAATGTCATTTTCAATAAATCTCTCAATTTCTGTAATGTTATATCATTTTTTTCTGACCAGAACCAGGCAGAAAGATGGGTCTTTTTTCTTTCTCCCTTTTTATTTTCTACTTGGAAGGGAAAAAAATGCAACTAATCCCCAGTGGATAAACTGACAAACGGGAGAGCTATAATCTACCTCCGAGCAGCACAATGAATTGGCATCTGAATGCTTTTGCCTTGCCATACATCTGGAGTTTAACTTTGAGGAAACTCTGTCATGAGCTAATTGACTTGATTGTGTTTTAATTAAATGAAAGGAAAAAGCTGAAGTTCAACTGTAGGCGGCTGAATGGTAGTTTCCATATGGAACTGCCAATATTGCAAAATGTTAATTGGACCTCCTGCTGGCGATGAGCTAAACAGGCTGGGTAGCGGCTACTTTAGAGGGATGCTGGCTGCTTCCTTGTAAGAGCCGGAGGGGATCCTCCTGGTTTTTTTTCAGGAATGGATACGACTGCCTGAATGCCTCCAGGTTTCTACAAGGATACATGCATAAACACCCTGCGGCTTGTTGGAGTCACGCATAAACCAGTGGTGCCAAAGTCCAGAAAGGGCTTCAGGGGGCTGAACCCTGTAACTCCCACCTCGCCACAAGCAAAATGTTACCTCGCTGCAGAAAGTCAAACACTGCAAGGGGTGGAAAATTCAGCTCAAAAGGCCATATTCTGTTCTGCCCCTGTGATAAGCCCCTGCCTAAGCTCTGCAAAAAGCACAGGTCCTGCCACACAGGTACGTACAAGGCAAGGAGGGGAGCTTACGCTCCCCCGAAAGTGATAGCACAGATGCCCAGGGCTCCACATTTCAGAAGAAAAGCCGCATGGCTCAGAGGGACGCCCAGCCGTGCTGTCCTCTTCTACAGTGCGCAGAAGAGAAACATGAGCAAAGTTGCAAGCAATGGTGCTGCCTCCCATGTGCATTTATTCTTGGTCTCGCTCTCTCACCTGTACACCTGGGATTAACTTGCTCAGAGCCTAGAAAAGCTTATTTAGGTATCTGTCTCATAGGTAGGAAACCCTTGCCCCGCAAGACACTGGTCCCCAGCAAGCAAGGAGGGGACTTGACTTTGGTTTCCTATTACCTTACAGAAGAAACAGAAGATAAAACAGTGTTAACTTTAGGGCTTGAGATGTGCTTGTTGCTTCACTGCGGTAAAGCACAAAGGACCTCTTTGCTTCAGAGTTACCTTAAGTGTTGCTCCATTTCTTTCTGGTCACAGTAACCGCATCAACTTAAGTGCTGTTGGTTGTTTTGTCAAGTTACAGGCTATCATGTTATCACATTAGTTACTGGAAGTTGTCTCTTGCTAATGCAACCCAAATGCAGATAACGCACTTGTGCGGCTTTAGAGTTACTTCACGGTATAGTTTTCACTCCCGTTGGGTTAATTCTAGAGAAAAAAAGCAAAGTTATGGTTGTAGGGTGCTCTGTAGAGACACTGGAAATACAACTGACAATACAGCTAGTCGGGGCTACCCAGCCGGACTAAATCACACCTCTCAGGCAGGAACCTGTGCAGAGCTCGTCTGCTACATCCGCGCTGGCATGCGAGCTCAGGGGGTTCTACAGTGCATTAAGCACTGCAGTTATACCTCTGCAATCACACCACCTCTCTTCTCACCTGTTTCTTGTGTCAAAACACAAGGCATTTGCTTAAAGTCTGAATAAAAATAAGGAGCTGACCTTATGCTTGCCATATGCCCACAAGCACGTGTTTGCAAATTAATTATTTACATCTTGGCATCATGCAGGCCTTATTAGAACACCTGCACTACTTCATCCTCTTCAACCAAATGTTTCAATTCCATCCTTTTGGCTTGCTAAGAAAGGAATAAGCAAATGCTCAGCAATCCCGTTAGGTGTGAAAGTGATCTGGCCAAAAATCTTCTTGCTACCTCCTCTCTGACCTGAACACAGCTGGCTCCAACCAGTAGGAAAGGGATCACAGGTTTAATGCAGGCTGCTTATTCCTTTTTTCTCAACCCCAATACTTGAGCAAAAAGCAGCAAATGGAAAATTTCCGGACAGTTACATTTTCCAGATATACGAAACATCAGGCCAAAGGTCAAATTCTGGATCCAAGCAACTTCTCCACAAAAACAGGGGAAAAAAAAATCCAGGCACAGTACGAGAGATGTGGGAGGACAGAAAAAACAGTAACAACTAAAAGCAGTGTACATAAAAGAGCAACCAAACTACTCTGAACAGCTGAGGACTGAAAATTACTGTTTCTTGTGTCAGAATATTAAGGGATAAATCTCCTGGGAGTACAATGGTATAGATTTCTATTTATAGTTTAAAAATCTTTTTGGATACTTCTGTAATTCTACCTAGAAGTAAGCTGCACATACTGATCTTGTTAAATTCTGCAATGATATTTTTAAAATGTCACATCTGAAAACCAGAACTGCAGAACTGGAAATATTTCCTTACTGACTTTTCTTGGTATAGCCTTAATATGGGGGAGAAAAATAACTATAGTAAGTTTACAACAAATATTTTTAGCCACAGGCAAGTGGTAAAACTTCCCAGCAGATAGTGCCTAGGAGTATGAAAATAAACCAAAGTGAGTACGTGACCCCTCCCCTGTGTGGTAATAAACAGCAATTAAAAGTTTTTGTGGTAATTAATTGGTACGTAATACCGATGCTGAGATAAAACCGGGCCAAGCGTGCCACAGTGAAGCCTTTGACCCTGTTCCCACTTCTCCAGCTAGCGGCAAAGCGACTCTCCATCCGCCCCAAACGGGCCGGGAGCCCTTGGATGCCCCGTCTGAGCAGCAGCGGTGCCCGCTGAGGAATGGGAAGGTGCGGGAAGGTTCCTGGTCCCGGCTTGTCCTGACAAGAGAGCCGAGGCGATAGGTACGCCACGTTGCTGCCCTCTGGGAACGTCCCATTCCCGGCGTTCCCAGGAACTTGACAAGATGAGAAACACAGTCCCACAGGCATTTGGGGAAAGGGAAACCGAAAGACGGAAGGCGAAGGCAAACCTTGTCGTCTAGCGCAAACTCTGCTGAGCAGCCCCGTACCGTCAGGCTGCTACCTCGCGGGCAGGCCTAGATGCTCGCCTACGACTCCTCTGAGGAGCCCGTTTGCCTTCAGAGAGTGAACCCGCACACTCTCAGGCAGCCCTTGCTACTTGCTACCCGAGCTGAGTCAAAAACCTAGCAAAATGGTCAAAGCATGGCCGAAAGTTACTCTGGGCTGCTTCTAGCTCTCCTCTCCGTACCTAAGCAACCACAAGCTTGGGGCTGCTTCAGATCTCAGCTGGCTGGTTCCTCTGGAGGCGCCCACCATCCCGAAGGAGGGTTCTACTCCGCGAACAACTCGCCTACCCTGCAGCACCGGCTAAAGGACCCAGCTGCTGATCCCCCTCCGACGCCTTTTGGCCGTTCCCTCGGTGCAGCTGGGAAGACAGAGGCGTTTCCCCGCAGCTCGCTAGATCATAGAATCATAGAATCGTTTAGGTTGGAAGAGACCTTTAAGATCATCCAGTCCAACCACTAACCTACACTACCAAGTCTACTCTAAGCCAATCAAGGGTAGACTAGACTAAACTAAAGATGTGTCCCCAGAAGCCCCCGCCGCTGCCGGCGGAGGCGGCGCGCAGGTACGGCTTGACGGAGATGCTGCCCACGCGAGCGGGTCCCTCGTCATCTCGGCCTGTGCCTTCACACCACCACGACGGGAACGTCAGCTGAACCACCAACCCTGCCGGTGACCATTTGTGAGGCCGCACTTTATCACTGCACTGAGCCAGAAGAAAAACAACCTTTTGCCGAGGCTTTTGAAACGGAGTCAGCTCCTGCTACTGACACGGGAGGGTCAGGCAGACAGTTTTGCTGAGCTGGGTGGCGCGCCGTGGAGCTGGGGCAGGAACAGAACAGGAGGGGATGGGGCAGAAGTTTGGGAGGAGACGGAAGACTTCTGCCACGAAGTCAGCACCGGGGCTCGCTGCCAGCGGGTGCGAGAGCTGCCCCTCACAGCAGCGCACCCCGACCCCTTCAACACATCCAGCGCTGAAGCAATGACCGCCTGAAGTGCTAACACCATGAGCTATTCTCCTCTGCTGCATGAAGGAAGCTGGGGAAGGAGGCACACATCTCTCCTCCCCATCCCACCCCAACTCATTCCAGACCACCCAGCACCCTTGCTAAATACAATTCTGTACGAACATTACACATGTGCTTTTCCCTCTATTATTACTATCTTTAACCAAATCTTTCACAGTTAACCATGTTTATACATCTGACAGCAGGTTTGGTTTTGTGGGCTCCCATCCCAACGCTTCCTCGCACTTAAGTACTGTAACAAAGAGCTTTTGATCTACAAACAACAGAACATTTACGTACAAAAAACCTTAGGAGCAATTTGATCAGTCATGTAATTAAATCCCCCATATGGGACAGCCCGGAGCTCACTGTGCTGCCTTCTAAAAGCGACGTTTTCTTTTATACTGGCACCACTTCAACACCTTTTTTCTAGTACAGGAAACAGCATATTGCACTTGTCCAAATGTGTGTAAGTCAAACCCGAAGCAAATAGTTTCTTTTTGTGACCCTGCTGGCCGCAGAACCCCGCCGGGGAGGTCAAGGACACTTTCAAATCCAACCAGCAAATTTCTGAGTGTTGCTGTCATTGCAAATGTTTGTACAAGCTATTAGCGCTGCAGTCTTTGTAGAGAAAACTGTGTTTATTTTTTAAGTTCAGTTTTTAACTGCCTTTCAAATGTTTGTCTTTGTTGCTAGATACCAGCTTGGATAAACAATAATAATAAAACTCCAACACATTCAGAAGAAACTATTAATGATTAAACACAGCTCCTCTCAGTCAAAATGCCAATTTGTCAACTCTAAAACCACAGCCTGTAAAAACTGTTCCTATCACTCTGTACCTGTAATATACAATTCTGAATACAGTCTAAGTCATCTTCTTTGCTATGAAGAAATGGGAGTTGCCAAATTGCAGCTGACTTTCACTCCGCATCATGTTTCATTACTCTCTCCATCCCCAGTTGCACAGCAAACAGCTGTTTTATTCCCTGTGTCTTGTTCTTTATTAGGGCCAGGGTGGGGAAAATCGGACACAAGCTGACATATTTGTCAGCCCAGCTGCTCTTCCTTTGCCAATTTAAACTCGGACACTCAGAGGCATGTTCAAGTAAAAGGACAGGTCTGTGCGTAATTTGTGATGGGATTCAGTTATACTTTAAAGGTAGCTTGTTCCCTTTCCTGCACAATAAAAAACAGTAATTCCATCAAGCAAGCTGGTGGCACCGAAAACCGCTACAGCAAAACCCAGTGGAATTATTGTACTGTCTTTATGTAGATTTAAAGGCTGTATTCAAACACATTTTGGACTTCAATTTTTCCATGGAATCAGTGTTTACAGAAGCGAGGCACGGATAATCAAAAAGCTTTGGTTGGAACAAATTGAAAATGAGAAAGCTGCTCCCCTTCGGCTCAGTGCACCGGGATGCCGTGCCAGGAGAGCACCCTGTTTGCACCGCGCCCTGGGGGTGCAGACGCTCATGGAGGTGGGGTTGGGAACCAGGATCCCACTTCCCTGTGGGAGAGCCAGCAGCGCTCTCCTTTTAGGGCCAGGCACCAGCCCAGGACTAACCAAAGCATCAAGTCCTCCTGGGAGATTAAAGGGCTAAAGAAAAGGGCTTGGTGAGGGCTCGGATGGGGAGATGTCATCTTGTTGTCAGAGAAGGCACCAAGGATACGCTCGGCTCTTCCAGCAGATTCTTCCCTTAAGGGAAAACAACTACTCTGTAAGAGCATCATCAACATGGCAAATACATAATTGATACCTTCATTTCCCCACTTGCTTGTCTCATGCTGTATTTGAGGTCCCCACTTCTCCTCTGCTCTCTGTTAATAATGAATGACTGTATTATTGCAGTGCTTAAGAGGGCTGGTCGTAGATCAGGACCTCTTTGTGACAAGAGCTGTACAAACAAAAACCATAAAGACCATTCTTGCTCCAGCTCTAAGTATAAAATGAAAGAGAACAGCTTGAACAACAGATTTCTGATTTTTCATTGCCACCTGCTCAGCTATTGCATTTTCAAGAGTTTTTAGCTACCCAAAAGTCCGTATGATTTTGTTTGCAGCATGTCCTTTTCTAACACCTCTCTCATTCAGACATTGGCATTGAGCAATCATAAACTGTATCTTTGTCATCTGTAGGCTAAAATAAAATGCCAACTTGAACTTCTGTGTGCCAGTTTAAACTGTATTGTTTTAGCTGGAGCTGGATGAGCATGCCTTCAATCTGAAAGCAACTTCCCACAGAAGAAACACCAGACCACCCCCCCCCCCCCCCCCGCCAATGCATTTCAGCGCTATACTGTCACAGAGCCTAACAACATTTACTCAGTACTTAGCTTCCACGCGCATCATTAGTAAGAGTTTCAAATGGAGCCAGCGGTGATGCCTGTTTGCCTGGCAGGGGAGATCTGAGCCCACCCAGCCACACCAGCACGCACCGCTGCGCTGCCATCTGGGAACACCTTTCCTTTCCCTCTCCTACTGAGCCAGGCAGCTAGAACTTAGCAGTCACTGCAGCCCAATGATAAGTTTTAAGTCTTCCAGTTACCATAAAGATGTATTCAAGCTGGTCCTGAATCAGATAATATATTGATTTATTTACTCTGCACAAAACCCTATACAGAAATCAAGAATAATTTAGCCTACTTTAGCCAGAGTAATGCTGACAGAGGTCACCCCCACTCTGTGGAATGACACACTTCACTGTACTTCGTATTTTCTTCAAGACTCTCTTTAAACCTTAAAAAAACCCAGTTTTCCCTTAAAAAGAATTTTTTTAATTATTATTTATGACTGCAGAGGTAAACCAGGCTAAATGACCCTTGAGCAATTACAAGCCAGAATACAAATGAAAACACGAAAATGGTTTACTTTAAAAATTGAATGAAATTGAAGCCATTCTCATAACTATCAGGATTTCATAAATTTTATGATTACTCAAATTCTGTGGTATCTTTGTGAGTGCCATGACCATGCTGATACAGATAAACTGAACACAAAAGCTGTGTTTAGCCATGTGCTTGTATATGCCATAGTAAGGACTTGATTAAAAAAACCAAAAAAGGTGGTGCACAAAGCCCGAATATGACTGGCAAGCCCTGACCTATCACTACTAACTCCAAGCAGCACTGGAAATTCAAAATCCTCCCAAGTAAAGTATGTACAGCATCAGGGTTCACCAAATTCATCTTTGGCTTTATTTAAGCTCTGTAAAGTTTTCTTTTTTAAACTACTACCAAATGTTTTCCTAGAGAGGGAACATTATGTGACGGAGCGCTTGCCTGTTTCCAGCAGTCCCTGGGAAAGCGAGCCATCCCTCAAGAAAGCCTACAGGAATAC